GTAAGCATTCTGATTATGTTTTCATGGGTGTGTTTTATTGCCTATATATAATGGAGATTTTCTTTAATTGCTCTTGTTAATTAATTCTCCTCTGCCCCTAACCAATATTCTTATAGCAAATAATAATAACCACTTCACTGGGTTAATGTAAAAATAAATAGCAGACTAGATATGATATCACTAATATGTGGAATCTAATAAAATAAACTAACAAAATAGAACCAGAGTCATGGGTACTAATGTCAGAGGGAAGGGGATGGGGGCTACTGGATAAAAGAAGGTGAAGAACATATATGCATAGCCCATGGATAGACAACAATGTGGTGAAGGCCAGGGGAGGGGGAAGCAGGGGCTGGGTGGAAGTGGGCAAAGGCTGGTAAATGGGGGATATCTGTAATATTGTCAATAATAAGCAACAATAAATGAATAAATAACAGACTAGATAATCAAAACTTATTCCACTCTCTCTGTTCTTTACCTTCTTTTCTTCTTTGCCTGCTTGCTACCTTCCTTCCTTCCCTACTTCTCTCTTTCCTTTCTTTCTCATCCATATCTCTTCCTCTCTTCTTCCCACCCTCTTTAAACAATGGCTGCTCAATAACTACTAATTACTTGTTTGTTTGATTAAAATACCCCCCAAAGTGATAAATACTGTCCTTCTCATCTTCTCCCTTCTCTTCTTTTCCTTGCTTCTCCTGCCCCATCTCTAATCAAGTCCAGGCTAATCCTCTTTGTTCTTTTTTCCTCTTTGATGTGGCCCAGGGATTCAGTCTGACTGTTTCATTGGGAATAGGGCTTCCACTTGCATGAGGCCCCTTTTGGCTTCTAAACTGTATAGTGGGACCCTATTTCTCCAACCCTCCTTATACCTAGTGATTGCAAGCCCTTTTTCTAGAAAACTTCTATTATTACCATAATCAGAAACAGCCAGGGAATCAAAAACCTTTGCCAAGAGAAAAATCACAAAAATCTTACAGGTCTTTAGGCTCATAGTGCTTAAATTCCTGCTTCCCTCTCTGAAGTGGTAATTGGACCAAAGAATCTTGATTTTAAAGAGCACTGAAAAGGATAAAAGATAAGCAAGTCTTGAGCTAGCCAACCCTACTAACATTGCATGGCAAGGACAGCATATGAGCAGCTGTACTGGGTGAAGGGCTCCCCTACTTATTTACACGACTCTGGCCATGGCTCCTGAAGTCCTCCTTTATCCTGAAATTTTCCCAGTGCCAACACTTTGACTCTGTCTCTACTTTTCAGCTCTAGACTTAACTGTGGTTTCTATCAGGTGCTTCCTCTACTTATTCTTCAAAGTCCTCTGTCATCTGTGCTTGGACATTTCCTCTGGCTCCATTTATTTTAGGCTGATCCTCAGAGACCCACCTTAACTCTGACTCTAGTAGATCAGCCCAAGGAGAAAGTGGGCACATATGAAGAACCTACAAATAAATAACTTTTAAAAATGAACAAGATGTGGTATGCTGTTGCCTACTAGCACCTGCTCATGAGAGCCAATGAAGTTTTCGGGAATTTTGCAAGCCAGTTGTTCAACATAGCCATTATTAAAAATTAAATTACTTAGCCTTTGTTGGGTGGTTCAGTTGGTTAGAATGTCACCCCATACACCAAATGGTTGTGGGTTTGATTCCCAGAAAGGGAATATATCTAGATTGTGGATTAATTATTGAAATCAGGCCATGACCATCAATGTGGATTTGGAGGAGCTGCATTTGAGCTATCAAGGATCTAATCTGTCATTCCTGGTAGACATGAATAAGGGTGTTTGTAGTCCTAAGAACTGATAGCCATGTCGGAAACACAAATGAAAGAGATGCCCAAGAATGAACATAAGCTGAGGAAGTAGAACCAAAAATGGTGATACTTAACAGAAGGTTCATATTGTTACATGAGAAAACTGCAGGAAAAGTAAATACTCTCTTATCCTGATCATGTGTGTGCATATACATATATCCAACCAAAGAGCAAGCTCTCTATGGACTTAAATTTTTGTTGCACCTTTTTGTATCTGTGCCTAACTTAGCACTGCACCCTGTAGGTAGTGGAGGACAAGCAGTAGTAAGTGCTTAATAGATATGTGCTTAGTAGAATTGGTTAGTAATTCAGGAGCAGATTGTGTAGGAAGTGGAGTGAATCAGAGTCAAGCCCTCTTCCCTTCTTTGCCAACAGCCAGTTTTAATCCATTTGTCATCATCTGTGAATGCCCCAGGGCAAAGGAATGAAGCCATGTGGTTCTTGAGTCCAAAAATTCAGTTTCTAACCCAGAGGAGTTTGTATTTTTCTGCTGGACTATAGGTATGCCCTGCTTTTCCATAGGTCATCTTGCACCACTTTACTTTTATGAAAGACCTACATTGGTACTTATTTTTACTAACAACAATAAAAATTAAAAAATCCGAAGAATATTTCTGCTTTAAAAAAAAAAAAGATAAAATAGTATTCAGTTTTGTTTTTTGTTTTTAATGGGGTTTTTTGCAGCAAGCTGGTTAGAGAGGCAGTGCTCACTTGTAACTATACCATACATGCATTATTTCTAGTGTATATAGGCTGAATAGTATATCATTCCTGCTTGTACTCCATGTTGGTGTTATTTTAAGCATTATCTGTTATTTGGTATGATTGGTTTGATTATTATTTGGGTGTGGGAATGCTCCCTAGTTTTTCCTGTATAAATTAATGGTATTTGCTTTATGCCATTAAAGACGGTTTCATAGAAACACTGTATTTTCAGATAGTGGGGAAAACCTGCACAGTGAAAATAAGCCATAGCCTTTTAGTGAGCATCAGCATTAAGAAGACTCCTTTGGTCTACTTTTTTATGATGCCAAATATGCAGATAAGAATGGAAGTGTGCAGTCAAGTGTTCACTTTGGCAGCAGATATAATAAAATTGGAACAATACAGAGAAGATTAGTTAGTCCCCTTTGCAAATTCATGAAAGGTTTTATATTTTTTAATATGCTGTTTAGAGTCAAATTACATGGGTCTGAAACTAGCTACTTAACCTGTTTATCTGTAAAATGGGGGTGATATATATAAAATACATATAAAATATGTTTAAAACATATTCTAATTTGTTGGGAAATAAATTGGTTAATATTGAAAAAAATATGCAGTTAACATGTCTCAAAAATCTACGCATGTGACACCACATTAACAAAATATCCAATTACTTAAGCAGACTTCTCATGTCTATCCAGGTTAGATAGACATGGAGTTTGGCCCCATGTCAGTGAAAGTGATGGCAATAAATGTGACAGTCCCAAAGTTGTACGGACTGTGGCTCTGAATGATACCAGCCACCTATGACTTCGAGAGGGAGATAAGTATAAACACAGGCAAATCGTGTGAGTGTTTGTTGTACTTTAAGTTGAAAGAGGACATAACCATGTTAGGAATGCTGCCTCCTGCTTACCCCATCCCTTCCCTGTCTTCCCTCTGCAATCCCATTGCTACCCAACATACAAAATGTCTTATCTGTATTAATCTAATCCCCTCTCCATTTCCCAGAACATAAGCTCCAGGAGGGCAAGAATTTGTCTCTACTTCTGTTCATTGCTCTATTCTATATACTACTACTTAATAGACTGTAGTATATAGTAAACCAGAGGCCCGATGCACAAAAATCATACATTTGAGGGGTTTCCTCAGCCTGGCCTATGACCTCTCACAGTCCAGGAGCCCACAGGGGGTGTCTGACTGATGGATATGGATGTTTGGGAGCCATCAGTCAGACATTCTTAGCACTGCCACAGAGGCAGGAGAGGCTCCCACCACAGCCACTGCAGGCACCAGCCGTGAGCCCAGCTTCAGTTGATCCATGCTCTCCTGTGGGAGCACACTGAATGCAGAAGCGGGCAGCTTCTGCATTGAGCATCTGCCCCCTGGTGGACAGTGCACATCATAGCAACCGGTTGTTCCACCGTTCGGTCAATTTACATATTAGTCTTTTATTATATAGGATGACCAGTAAACATTGGTTGAACAAATGAGATGTCCTGAAGGATGGTTATTTGCTAATCAATTAATAAATCAGAAACTATAATGGCTGGGTTAAAAAAAATACCTTTTCCCCCTGAATTAAGTTAAAAGATTCTGTGACTTAATACGTGCTGTCTCAACAACAATCTTAACTACAATATAGCTTTATGACTATAATCAATTTGCTTAACATAATTCCCCTTTGTTTCTCCATCTGGAAAATGGGGAAACAGTGCCAGCCCTTTATTCTTCAAAAACTTTTAAGTATCCTCAAAGAGATAATAGCTGTAAAGGGTCAGGTTAAAGATACAATGCAGGAGCTTAGCACAGATGGTTTTTCATAAAATTAAAGTTATCTCAGTTGCCCATTTACTTATTAAACCAGTAAAATTCCATTTCAGCTTTTATTATTATGTATACTAATAAACATGAATTCATCAGTTTTCTATTTCCTATTTCATCCAAAGTATTGTTATTATAAATTTTAACTAACCATTTTCAAATCAAACTGCCACTTTCTAATACTTCACATCTGTCTCAAAGTCAGAAACTTTCTAATGAAAGACATACTCATCGAATCCACTCTAACTGATCCTTATGAAACATGTTAAATGTCTTTTCTCCAGGGTAATCATCCTTCATCCCCCCCCCTCCCCTCTATTAAAAGCAAACCAGTCTTTTTGCTGTGAGAATTCCAGCTGTCCTGTCCCCAGGTTCTCCTTGAAGCCAAAGTCGGTGGGGGGTTTTTAGGGTCTCCCTTCCAATCTGAAAAAAGAGACCCTGTACCTTTAATAACAGAGACCTGGTGAGAGGTTTCTTTCCAAACTTGTTCCCTGGCTTCCAAGTGACGAAACCAGCTGTAATTTGAGAGCAGAGAGATCCTCAGGATATCATTAGCCAAAGGAAAAGCTCCGCATTCCCACCCAGCCCAGGAGCTGCAATAGTACCAGAGGGCAAGAGCCAGCCTCTCTCTCTCTCCAGCTCCAGGCTCCAACTCCCAGCAGCAGGAGAGCTGAGAGCCGCAGAGCCAGTCCTGCCAAGCCCTGGGATCCCGCAGGGGAAAGAGCCTGCTGAGCTGCAGCCGCCCAGCAGCAGCAGCACGTACCTACTTAGAGCGGGAACACAGATCCCTGTGCATCCTGCGCTGCCGACCCTGCTACCCAGAAGCTGGGGCCTCAGCCCCATGAAGCCTGCTGGAGAGGGGGCACCAGGGAGCAGCAAGCCGGCGGGGCCTGAGGCTGACGCTGTCTCAGGGAGGCAGCCCTGACTCCCAAGGGGACCCCCTTCCTTCTTCGTGTCCCCGGGCCCCAAGTCTTCTCCAGGGGTCCCCTGTCCTCCTGAAGCCACGAGATGGCCTTCCTGCAGCTGCTCTGGATGGGTCTCTTCTGCCACCTGTGTCAGGGCTACTTCGATGGCCCCCTCTACCCGGAGATGTCCAACGGGACGCTGCACCACTACTTCGTGCCCGACGGGGACTACGAGGAGAACGACGACCCCGAGAAGTGCCAGCTGCTCTTCAGGGTGAGTGACCACCGGCGCTGCTCGCAGGGCGAGGGCGGCCCGGCCGGCCGGCTGCTGAGCCTCACGCTGCGGGAGCAGTTCACTGTGCTGGGCCGCCAGGTGGAGGACGCGGGGCGGGTCCTGGAGGGCATCAGCAAGAGCATCTCCTACGACCTGGACGGAGAGGAGAGCTACGGCAAGTACCTGCGCCGGGAGTCCCACCAGATCGGGGACGCCTACTCCAACTCGGACAAGTCCCTCACGGAGCTGGAGAGTAAGTTCAAGCAGGGCCAGGAGCAGGACAGCCGGCAGGAGAGCAGGCTCAACGAGGACTTCCTGGGGATGCTGGTGCACACCAAGGCCCTCCTGAAGGAGACGCTGGACATCTCCGCGGGCCTCCGGGACCGGTACGAGCTGCTGGCCCTCACCATCCGGAGCCACGGGACCCGGCTAGGCCGGCTGAAGAACGATTACCTTAAGGTGTAGGGGACCGGGGGGCGTCCTGCCAGCAGAGGGGACCGTGTCTGCCCTGCCGTGGAGGGAGGGGGACAGAAGACAGGGCTGACATTCCCCCGCGAAGATAATCTTTATATTCAGATTTGCACTTGGAGAATGATCTGAAGTCATCTTGGAAAAGGAACGAAGTGGGTTTGGTTTCTGTACATTATTTATGAGATGGGTCTGCCATGGATTTGCCACCTGCCAACAACCGTGGTAAGCCAGGCCTCCCACCTTTTCCTCCGAGGCTTGGTAGCTGCAGAGACACCTGTTTCAGCCACCCCCAAAGGACACCCAGGACACAGTGTTGAGCTTTCCCCACCCCCTCATCGTAGAGATTTGCTGCAAATACACAGACAGCAGACAGACAGCGTGCATAGCTTCTTCCCCCTCGCAGCCTCTCCCCTGGGCGCTGGAAGCTGGCAGAGCTGCCTGTGTTTCAGAGGAGGCCCAGCACGGCTCTGCATACTCCCAGCAGATGGAAGATGCTGTCTCCTCTTCACTTTTTCTCTCTTATTTATTACCATTGTCTCTAAGGTTTTTTTGTTTTGTTTTGTGTTTTGGTAAGAGTATTGGCTAGAAACTACATGCAAATCATCCTTTGCAGGGAGATGTGCCAGTGCCTCTGTGTGTATAAATCCCAGCGGCTGGCCACCTTTAAGAAGTCTGAGATTTGTGGTGGTTGGGCACTCACATCGATGTGTTGATTTGCGATGTCTCTCACTGTGTGTCTGTGTCATCCGTGCTCTGGTCCATTAAGAAGAAGTAGCTTGTTTGTTTGAACACACCCCCAAATGCCTTAGGAGTGAGGTTGTCAATATATTCTTTCTCATTTAGGGGGTCTCGCTTCTGTTTGCTTATTGGAGGCTTGTACTTCAGGTAATGGGGGAAGGGGGATCCTAATAACTCCTTAGCCAAATTTTATTATTCAGACAATAAACATGTTCTCGTGTAATGCTGGCTTATTTTCTAATTTCTATCTGTGACTTTCACATTGCCAAGAGGGGCCAACACGAAAGGAAAGAGAAGGATGGGATGTAAGATAGTTTACTTAGAGTGTATATTAAAGATAGAGGGATAGCTACATATCTGGCACTCTTTCCTTCCCTGGCCACCCTTTCAATCCTCAAAAGAAAAAGAAAAAAATCTAGGCAGTTTTGATGTCTGTCTGCTTGCTGGTCTGCCTGAAAACTCTATGTTTCTCCAGTTTTCCCCATAGAATCAACTGGAAAACTTTATGCCAGTGCTCAGAATGCAGAGGGAGAGATCTATTCAAAGTTATAGGAACTACAATGGTGTTCGGTTATTCTGAAGCCACATCTATGCTATTTAATCCATGCTTTAAGAAGATGGAAATGCAGTTTATTTTATGTCTTTCTTTGGCCAGTTTTCATCGTCACTTAAATTTGCTTTCTTTTCACACATACACACAGAGGAAAATAAATAAGTGTTCATAACCTACTTTTCAACAGTGAGCCATCTTTTTTCACTTAATGCACAAGGAATCCAGTTTTCTATTCCTATGAAGTGTCAAATATTTTCCTGCTACAGTAGGGGAAACTGAGGCTCAGAGAATTATTGATCCTCAGCTAATTGTAACTGTTCTGGGTGTCTTACATTTGAGTATACTATTTTCCCTTTTCAAGAATGGTGCTCTTTACAAGGATGAGGAGAGATGAGAGATGAGGCTTTGAATAATTATTTTATTGTTTAAAATAAAAAACATACGGAATACTATTTAAACAAATCACTTGTAATTTCCTCATCCAGAAGCCTGCTTTTAGCTGCCTCTGGACTGGTGTGTGGTAAGAAGGTAAATGATCATTTGAAAGCATTTTTCCTTTATCCTATAAAAGATGAGGAAAATAACAGCATAGGCAAAGGAGTTGGTATTGTGACTATAAACTACAACAGTTTGTAGTCACAAGCTATTTCAAAGCTTTCCTATCACTCACTCCACAGTGCCCAAGTCTAATCCATGGACGTATTAAATGTCATCACCTCGGTTTTCCCAATTATAATAGAAGGACATTAGAAAGGGACCTGGATGAGAAACCAGTTTTCTCACACGTGCTAATTTGAATCCATTGGCAATGGTTTCGTACAGTACTATGTTAAGAACAATTTAAAAGACACAGATGTAAAGAGTGCTGTCCCCATCAGCGATGTCGCCATCAGCAGGGTGGAAAGGGGTGGCACATCTGCTACAAATTTGAAAACCCTGAAATAGATCAGAGATGGGGCTCTTTCCAGTACTAACAGTCTATGATTTCTACAAAACCAGAATAAAATGATTGGACATTGAATCATCCATTCAAGGCTAGAGGAGCTGCCAGCAATCCCACAGTCTTATGTAAATGGCCCCAGAGGATAAATGGGAATCTCCAGGTGGGGAGAGGGAGGTATCCTGGATGGCTAACCCAGAGTCTAGCATCACAAGGCTTTTCCAAATCCTCAGATGGCAGGGAGACAGCACCACAGATTTTTTTCCTCCCTGCTTCACAGTTATTTTTATTAGGACTTCATTACTCACTTGCTGACAAATTCTTTGTTCAAAGTAGGGGTTCATTAGTTCTTAGACCATGAAATATTTTGAGAATCAGATGAAAACTAATACTGCTTTCTTTCCTGAGATACCTACTTACAAACACATCCATACAATTCGGGATATGTGTTGCTTTTATAAATATATGTCAGGCACTGAGTTAGGCTGTGGATAATTCTAGTATATGACAAAGCCTTGGGACTTCATCTAGCAAAAATATTTTTAAAGACTCTTAGAATTATATTTGGAGAAAGATGCATGTACTGTTTTTTTTAAATAACAATGAAATAGCTAATCTTTTGGAAACTCATAATTTTGATCAGACCCTTAAGAACTTTACCTGAGTTATTTCCCTCAGTCCTAATACAAACTGTGTGAAGGAAGCATTTTATAAAAGGAATTGGTACATGCCAAATGCTTAGAATAGTACCTGGCAGACTGAATCCTCTATAATTGCTACTTGTTATTAATGACATTATCATTATCATTATTTTTGTAACTTAGGCCCAGAAATCCTAGGTTATATTCCCCAGATTAAACTGTGTGTTGTCATACATACATTACTATGTCCTCACATTTTAAATAAATTATTATCTAGTGAGCTAGATCATCAAACAAAATAAAATGCAAAGGGTAAGGAGTACTGTGAGGCTGCCAGTTGTCCACTCCAAGCATTGTCCCCTGTAGGCCAGTCAGCCCACCTCCTCCTGTAGTTTAGATGTCTGACTGCTGTCAGTCAGAAGCTAAGCGGCTCCTGTTTACAGAATGCCTTGTTGATACTTTCTCTGTATGATTCATTGTTTAATACCACTCATCTTTACGCTCCCCATCTGACCATGTGAAACTTCCCCATGCCTATTTTGAAGCATTTCTACCTTGAAGATAAAGATCTGTCTATCTACAGTCTGTGGATGAATAACACCAGGCCACATTATCCTCTGCAGCACCCAAAGCCATGCTCATAGAAGCCAGGAGAAGACAGCAGGTGTCGGAGTGTTACAAACATTAGCACCAAAGGCTACTCCATAGTTCACATACTTTTCAATGCCTTTTAAACTCTCCTTTATAACTCCACTAAAGAAACAGGCTCAAAATTTTCTGAGAAAAGCCTAAAACTTATATTATAAACCATTTTAACAAATAACAAAATGCCCATGAAAATCACTTGAAGGTATGAAATCAACCAAAAGGGTAGTATGGCCAAATGTCCTTAGGGCATTTTTCAGAGGATGATTATAAAAATCTTGTAGACACAGAATACTTGAATATGAAATATAAATGTGGTTTATGAAAGTTTTCATGTAAAAGAAAAACAACTACATAAGTCTTGGTTAGACATAAAATACAGAAATGCATAACAATTCACTAAGTATAGAGAATGAGATCCTATTGCTTATCTTAGTATTGTAATTTTGAAATTAGGGTGGTCCTTAGGAATCCTGTTTCATGAGTCAGAATCACAATGGCTCTGTTCATCAATCATTTTCAAAGTGCCCCCATTTGAGGTACCCAGGATAGAAATAGTATGTAGACATGTGGAAACTGATACCTAAACACAGAGTCAGAGTGTGGCTGCATGGGGGATTGGCCCGTGGACAAGATTCGGTGGGAACTCAGTGAGAGCCTAAACCATAATTATCTGGAAAACATAAAAGCATTGTAAATAATATAAAGATTTATACAGTCACACATTTACATGACATAGAAGTGTCATTGCTGATGTTATTAGTGCAGTTGCTTTGCCTTGTAAGCATTTTTTTTCTGGTTAGTTAATCCATAACTGCTGAATTCTAATAATATGGCAAATGGTGAAACACAAAGAAAAGAAAATTGTTTGAATTTTCAAACTCCACCATTATACACAAACTAAAAACTATTGGCATTTTGGTGTACATTCTTTCAGTACTTTAAATACAGATCTATATAAGTATTTTTTCTTTCAAAAAACTATTATAGTAACACATTGTTTCGGAGCCAATGTCTATTTTAGGTTTCAACTTTGCTTAATTGCTTAAATCTTTCTTAAAGGCTTAAATTTAGCCACAGCACTTTAAGAGGCACAGTTGTGGGTTCTAGGCTGGCTCTTTCATGTATTAGCTGTACAATTTTGAGAAAGTTCCTTAAATGTCCCAAAATTCAGCCACTTTGTTGCAAAAGGAAAATAATAATAGCTAATATTTATCAAATGAGCACTGCTCAAAGTGTTTTCTGTACATTATTTTACATAAACCTTCCAGGGTTATATTTCAAATAGATGTCATATTTTCTGAACTTTTTGAATGAGGGAAACTAAAACACAAAGCGGTTAAATGACTTACCCAAAGTCTCATAGCTAGACAGGAATGGAGTCAAAGGCAGGTAGTATGACCACTGTATGGGCCTTATAACCAACGATGTTTCCTTTCCAAAGGCAGAATACCAGACGTATTTAACTCCCTTCCTGTTCTAGGATCTGTGCTAAAAAGTCTGTGAAATGAACATTTCCCTTATATGATTTTCTTAACTGGAAAAATTCAAACCCAATTTCCCTCAAAGAACTTTTTTGTCCACCTTATTTTATATGGGGTGAAGTATAAATTTTTAGACCTGCATGCATTATGCTAATTTTTTGCCCAAGAGCAACTGGTTTCCTGTTCAATTTTATATTTTCCGAGCACCTTCACATATATTAGCACATGTGATCATAATACGTGTTTATAGACACTGAACTGTTAGGACAATGCATGGTATTCACTATCTGGAAATGATAGCCAACATTCACAGCTAGAGAAGTTAGTCAAGACTGAACCCAGATATAGTAAAGATTCCTTGTCCAAGTACCACTTTCCTTGCAGATCTGCCAGTCATGCATTTATTCATTATTCAAAAACAAACAAAACATGTTTGTCTGCCTACTGTGTATCAGGATACAGCAGTCAGAAAAGGAAAAAAATCCATGCCCTCCTTGATCTTACATTTGAATGTGAAAATTTAATGAATTCATTGGGATCCTCTAATGAAAAAAGTGATGATAAATAAACTAAACTATATATAAAAGAATGATAGGCAGTGAAATGTACTATTCTATATAATAAAGATGTAATATGCAAATTGACCCTCACACCCTCGCAAGATGGCTGCCTACAATCAGGCTGGCAGGTGGGTTAGTGAGGGACTACCAAATGACTGAAAAGCAGGCTGTGTGGGGCAACGAGACCAAGGGGGGGGGCAGTTGGGGGCAACCAGACCAGCAGGGGGTCAGTGGAGGCAATTAGGTTGGCAGGGGAGCAATGGGGGGGGGGGGCAATTAGGCTGACAGGGAGGGCAGTGAGGGGTGATCAGGCCAGTGGGGGGTAGTTGAGGGCAACCAGGCAGGAGGGGGGCAGTTAAGGGTGACCAGGCAAGCAGAAGGGGGCAGCTGGGCATGACCA